CCGTCGAAGCACTCCGACACGAATGGGGGGAAGGGGGAGGGCGGCGGAGGGGAGAGAGGAGACGACCGAGGGAAGAGGGAGTCCTCAATTCTGTGACACTGGAAAGACGCACATGACGCAGCTAACCGCGGCTCCGTGGCTCTACACACGATTCCCTCGTATCCCGGAAGGACGGCTACGTCGTCGTGAAGAAAACCGCGTTACGCGAAACGCGCGACTATCTTCTCGGCACTGTGATTCAATAACGACGACGTACGAGACGACCGCGTTAATAACATGGCCAGACTGGAACTTGACTGGACTCCCTTCGAGATTACTCCGAAGTCTCCGAACTCGGAATCCGAATGCGCGTTGCGCTGCGCGGCGCAGCCGAGAACGTTGTTCCCCCAGCGCAAATACCCGCTATCCACCCCGCTACCGAGTTCCCACTAGTGTTCCTATTGGCTGCATAAGCTGCGTTCAGTAGAAAAAACAGCTTCGTAACTGTAGTAAAATTCTTTCATGTAATTAACTTGTCATTAGTTCCACATTGGATCTAAATGTATAAACTAATCATATTAAAGAATCAATAGTTTAAAAATTACTATTTTTGCAGAACGCAGCTATTGACTACTGGTGAATTCGATTGGATGCACTCAGTAATGTAAAGATATGTTTATAAATAAACATAGAAATTTATAATGATTGAAAAGCCTTTGAGAGCCGACGTGAGTTATTGTTGCGAACAATGATTTATTAGCTAATATACTCAATAAGTAATATAAACGTTCCGACCTACGTTTAGGGTCTTCAGTAATATGACATATTTTGCGGGGTCTACAATAGAAGTCGTAGCGGTCGTAGGATTTTAAGTCGTAGAAAATTGACCAATCACAGTTGAACATGAGAAGTATAATCAACTGTGATTGGTCAATTTTCTACGACTTAAGACCCTACGACTGCTACGACTTCTATTGTAGACCCCGCATAACATAGGCCGGTATTCATAGTCGGTTCTTATTTCAAAACCATCTTAAGTAATGTCTTAATACGCTAACGCGGCTCTCTGATTGGTTCATGACACCTCAAGGCTGAACTTAAGACGATCTTGAATATAAGAACTGACTATGAATACCGGCCATAGACTACGTTTACACGACCCGATTTACCGAAGTTATAACATCGATGTTATGGAACTAGCCAATCATAGCTATCCTTCTGAAAAATGGAATGACCGTGATTGGCCAATTTCATATCAACATCGATGTTATAACTTCAAACTTAGGTCTGTTCGCGTTGCATGAAATCCCCAAATATTTTTGCACTTAAAATGAGATAGATATATATTTGGCCTTGAAAAGAGAGAAAGCGAAGATGCTGAGTGCCAAAAGTGCAAGCAACGCGAACAGACCTAATGTCATTGTTCTTTACACGAAAATTTGTCCAAATCCAGTCGTCTTTAATAGTAGGTAGAGTCCTATATATAAAGAGATTCGACATTAATGTCCGAGTTTCTGATTGGCAGTCTGATATGTATTCTGATTGGGTATCCCCTCCTAAGTGAAGCAGCCATATTGTGACCATGGTGTAAAAATATATGTAATACATCGCGCTGGTCTGCAGCTGGCATGAGACGTATTTGCCGCATATCGCGTAACCGTGTAACCAATCAGTAAGGACGCGTTCACACCTTGACGGAAAAGCAGAAAGCGGAAAAGCAGTGGCCAATCACAACTCGCGCTGGTAGTACAAAAAGCCGAAATTGTCGACTACCAATGCGAGTTCTGATTGGCTGCTGCTTTTCCGCTTTCTGCTTTTCCGTCAAGATGTAAACTCGCCCTAAGACACGAAACCACATCAGCGGATCGCTTCTGATTGGTTACGCGGTTACGCGATACGCGGCAAATACACCTCATGGGACTCCAGCATTAGGGCTGTGTTCGGAAACATCACCCAGATATAAAAAATGTGAGAAAGTTATAAAATTATATAGAAATTTTGAAAAATTATATGAAAAATTCTGAGAAAAATTTTCACCAGGGAAATTAGGAGTTATTTTTTTCAGTAACGAATGACTTTTTCAATAATTACTTTTTTCCTCTTTTAGATTCGAAATTTTTTCTTCAGAAATAAGGAGAAAATAAAGCCCGAACTCCGACGAAATCGCTTTACGATAGATAAAATGCAATACATCAAAATATCTTTATAGGATACTATGTATCAATTATGTGAATGCCGCATGTGGTACTTTGTGAATTATTTAGCAAACTCGGATTACATAATTAAATATTCTGTTTTCTTTTTGTCAACATCAAAGTTTATTATTACAAGATTTTGGTGATACATTTATATGACATTTATGTATTTTAATGACATTTATGTATTGATGAAGATTTATTTTGTATTGTCACACATAAGTAAAATTCTTAAGATATAATTATATAAATAGTATGTAACATCCAATTGTATTACTTTCTTTTTTACTGTTTGACAAATATATATTATTTCAAGTAAAACACAATAGCCAAATTCAAGAGAATGTTTATTTTACATTTGTTAGAAGTTTTCTCTGCTAAGGATTATACTTCAGATCTAAAGAAATAAATGCTTTATCTCAGCAAAGAAAACTTTTAATAATCACAAAATAAATGTTTTGCCGAATGCGACCATTAAAATAATATCAAAAAATAGAAAAGTATTCTCACATTTATATACTCATTTTGATCATAATTAGATCATTTACTTGTTATTTTGACATAATTTTGATATAATTTGGGTGTAATCGAGAGAATTTATTATTTTATATACGTAGTTCCATATACATTATAGTTAAAAATTATTTAAAAATCATTTTCATATCAAAAATTTATCACAAAATCATAATCAAAAGTGTATCAAATGATAACATCAAGTAGGAGTCATTTGATAAAAATCATCAATGATTTTTATCAAATGACTTCTACTTAATTTTATCTTGAACTTCTTTTGATTTTCTTATACATTTTTTACCTGTATTAGGAGGCCCATATAAATCGTTCGTCGTCATAAGAGACACATGTTCTTTCTCAATCGTCATGTTTAAGGAAGTTTCTCCTCTCGCATTTAACGCTGACTTAAAAACACAAATGGCATTAATCAAAGTCGGTAAAATGGAACGTTTTCTCAATACAGAATTGAACAGAGCAAATGTTCTTTCTATATCGACATTTGAATTTGGAAATGATCGAATAGCATTCAAAACATTTGTTAAAAGTGGATATTTGGCAATATTATTTGGGTGCCGACATTGCAAAATTTCTTTCCACATATTATCGAAACTTAATAAAGAAAGGCGTCGTTTTTCCTCTATTGTAAACTCTAATGACAATGAAATCCATTCTTTCTTTAAAGCATCTTCATCAAAATCACCAATAGTTTCAGCTATAAAGGAAACATCATTGAATGATGTTTCTATATCAGTCTCAAATAAATTTTTAAAAACTTGTAATTTGGATAAAAATATATTTTTCACAGGTAACCTTTCACAAATTTCTTCTGCAGCAGTTACATAAAACATCAAACAGTTCTGTCGAACCACCATAACTACGTTTTCGTGCCCTTGCGTCATTAATTCATTAAGGTATTCTTCACATTTTGATCCTAAAAAAATTTTATTAAGAATTTTTTGATTCTTCTTTAAAGAAAAGTCTACATCTGTTAATAAAGGTGTTAAATGCTCGCTCTGTAAAAAGTTTTGACAAATTTCTTGAAGAAGGATTAAAGATTTCGATTGCAATAAATGAATTTGCGTTTCTAATGTTTGAAAAAATGTATTAAATGCGTTAAAGAAACTTAAAACGTATTTTAAAAAAAGAAAATAAGCTTTTGTTTCTACCATGCACATTGTAAATAATAAATTACTTGCAGCCCGTGTACTCTTAGTTTCTAAGAAATTTTTAACCATATCCCAATATTCCAAAAATTTTTCTACAAAATTGTAGCGAGAAATCCAGTATGTATCATACTCTAATATTTTATGACTCGTTTCTTGGAAATATTTACAAAATTCCATAAATTCAGAAAAATGTCTCGGACGGTCATTTATATAACTAAAAATATTTTTTATAAATTTTTCGCAAAATGTGGGTATTTTATCGCACGCATTATGCGCTACTAATGTGGCAGAATGACAAGAACATAGCAACGTCATTAAATGTGGACATAATTTCTTAAATTCCTTTTTAAATAACGAATGATTCTCTGTCATGATAGACGTATTGTTGCATAACAAGGCAACAATATTTGAAAACGGAATATTTAATTCCAACATTTTATTTTTAAGTCTTTCAAACAATTTATTTGCACTGAAATCTTTGGCATCGATACTCATTAATTCAACTATTTGCGAACGTACATCTAATGTTTCTGAATCAACGTATCGAACTTGAAAAATCATCCATATATTACCTTTATAAATGTCAGACGTGAAGCCTATAAATACTGTAAATTTAGTATTCTGAATCTTGTTAACGAGACGTTTCATTTCATTTGGGTACAAAACATTCGTAATAATCTTTACGCATTTTGTTCTGCTCGTGCGCATCTTTTTCAATACGTTAGGACCTTCTCCTACATATTGAAATAAATTAAGTATCTTGCGCGAGTGTCTATAAGAAATATTTTGATCGGTGAGTAATGCGGCATATCTGATTTCCGCTTCTTTTCTACGCTCTTCAAGTGTCAAAAGCGATTTATTAACTTGAAATTTTAAATCTTCATTCGATTTGCTTATTTCAATAGAATTACGTTTACATCTTTTTATATGTGCTTTACTATTTGCATGAGAATAGATTTGCCTACCACTGTACATGAAAGACTTATTACAAATTAAACAGAAAAATTTACTTACATTACGTGGCTCTTTGCGTAACCAACATTTCAATTCTTCAACATCTAACCATTTTTCTTGAAATACTGGTAATTTACGATTTTTTTTTGATAAAT